TTTTTTTTGTTTGTTTTCCGTTTATGTCGCGTCGCGCGTATAATTTGTACCGTTTCCCTTCCGTTTCCTTCCTCGGTGCCTCCTGTTAGCCGATGGCTAAGTTTCCGGCGTCTGATTGGTCCGTGACAGTGTGACGGAGTTGGAGGGAGTTATAAAAGCGGGTGTAAGGAGTAAGAATGAGGACTCTTGGACTTTTTCGAGAAAGAAAGGGAGAGAACCGCAGACGAAAAAGGAGAGAAGAGCGACCGAGAAGAGAGTGGACCGTTGGTAGAAGAAAGGAAGTTGCGACTCGAAAAGAAGAAGATTCCCCATCGAAGCCCACAATCGGACCGCTACGACAGAACCCTTGCAAGTCCCTTAGGTACTCCGTCCACAATATTTTTATTTTCGGATCTATATTTAATTGTCGAAAAAGAACGGGGCCTCGCGTGAGGAAGGTTAACGGAAAGGGGAACGTCAGGCTATTTCGTTATTTGTTACCATAACTGTCGGGTGTTGGACTGTTTATTGAGATATATATTGTACCGCGTTTTTCTTTTACTAAAATAAACCTTTGTTTGCCTGATCACACGTGTCTACCGATTTTTCATTGTCCTTCCCTTTGTTCTTTCTATCGTATATCTGTAACCGCAGACCACGTGCCTTGCGGAGTTCACATCTGCTAATGACAATTTAACATACCAGTAGCTAAAAGAATTTGTTGTTATATAAAAAATTTTGCTAAAGTAAAAAATGAGTTTGTTTATTATATTCTCTTCTCTTGTAAGAATTTATTTATTTTTTGTTTTAACAAATAACATCTTATTTAAATAAATTACATAAACATATTTTCATATATTTATTTATCAATAAAAACAGATAAATCTTTATATTTTATGCATAAATATTATATGCTAACAATAAATCAATTAAAAAGATCGTTTTTAATGAGAGTTTAATCTATAAATATTTTATAAAATATCTTACTTGTGTAGAAAGTCTGGAAGCTAAAGTCATTTCCAAATTTCCCTTCAAACCCAAAAGAGCAGGAACAAGAATAAATAGTTCTGATACTTTTACAAATACTGGCCAATGCTAAAATAAATAAAAATAAACACGATTAATAAAATAATTTATATCACTTTATTATAAAATAATGTTATAATTTTAATAATATGAAAATCACTTAAAAATCATAAAATTAGTTTAATAAATTCTAATTCTGAATTCATTTTTTTCTTTTTTTGCATATTACAGTAGATGAATAGTGTACAATAAAAGCCAACTTCACAGAAAAAAAGACAGTTGTTCCTGAGATGTGTAAAAGGATGTAACGAAAATGTTTTAGCTTCTGTTTTTAAATATGGAGTTATTTTGGCAAGAAATGTTCATTGTATTTTTTAACCATATAGTGTTATTTTTACTATTATTTAACCATATGCATTTTTAACTGTATACTGTATAAACTATGTATAGAATGTAAGAAAAACTTTGTGAGAAAATTTATTAATCCTAACAAAGAACATCTTAATTAACAAACAATTGAGATTTTAGACCTCTAAAATCTACTAATTAGAGCATTTCCTGTATAAAAGAATTCCTACTTAAATAAGGAATCAAATAGCTATAAAAAACATTGTTACAAGAAAAATATAATAGTACATATTTTTGTTAAATATTGTTTTAACTGAACACCAAGTAAAGTTTCACAAGAATTTCATGATAGTTTAATCAAAGTTGGGAATACTCCACTGAAAGACTTTGATAGTTCTAGTGCAGTCTGATAAAATATAAATAATATAATATCAATTTTTGAGGACCTGTTTTAAGTTAATTCAATAATTTATTTTCTTTCTGTAAAAAGTTAATTTTGCTGTCATAAATTTTGAGCTATAAATTTTCTTCTTTTCTCAATAAACACATCTATCTAAATATGTATATAAAGGTAATGCATTGAAAATCTAAACATCAAAATTCTAGTGCAACATGTTCTAGTGTGTCAAAAATCTGGATTTGACCATCAAACAATGGATATTCATTCTTTCAATAGTAACTTTGTTTATAAACATCTCAAAGCCTGATGATTATTATAAATCTGGTAATGTTGCCTGATTAAATCCGTAATCATTTGGCCTCACATTGCTGATGTTCTAACACTCATTTAGAAGTTCAATCATAATTTCAAAATTAAATTACATGTTAAATATGTCTTCACTTTTGCCATATTCAATCACCAGGAACAACAGTCTTCCACTGCAAAGATGGCTTTTCTTTAGAGGCTATGCCTCTGCAAAAACCAAGCAAAACAGTAAAACAGGGATGGCCAACACGTAGACCGCGGTCGACCGCAAAGGTTTTGAAAGTAGCCTGCGAAGCTAAAGTTGAACAATTTGCTTTCACTTAATGTTTAAAAATCTTAATTCGATAATTTATTCTTACAATAATAGACTGTCTGTGCAATGTACCCATACTGTTTGTATTTATCCCGATGAACAATGAAAATGAATGTTAACGCATGTGCATATAAAAATGCTAAAATTGTTTGCCCATATTCATAGTTGCCCACAGACTACATTTTACTAAAAAAGTAGCCCCTAAGGGATAAAAGTTTGGCCACACCTGGTCTAAAAGTTCTCTGGTGACAAGCCAAAACAATTAAAAATACAATATTTCTTTTAAAAAAATTGACTGACAAATTTACACATTAATAAAAAGTACATAAAAAGACTAAAATAAAAAACTAAAATATTATTTTTAAATTACATGTACTTTTTGTTTAAAGATAATAATTCTGTAAATTATATTTTAAATCTTTCTAAAAGTATTCCTACATTCCTTGTGAAATACTGGCTTGAACTTGAAACATTTAAACTTGAATTAGTATTAGTAAATTAGTATTTTAAGTACTGTTAACTATAGTTAACAGTACTTAAAATACTAATTTACTAATACTAATTCAAGTTTAAATGTTTCAAGTTCAAGCCAGTATTTCACAAGGAATGTAGGAATACTTTTAGAAATGTAGGAATGTAGGAATGTTTCAAGTTCAAGCCAGTATTTCACAAGGAATGTAGGAATACTTTTAGAATGTAGGAATACTTTTAGAATGTAGGAATACTTTAAGTACTGTTAACTATAGTTAACAGTACTTAAAATACTAATTTACATGTATATTTGAAAATCTGAACAAAGTGAAAGCTGAATAGGACCAGCTCCAATTAGTCAAGATTTTCAATGCTTCACTATATAGAAATATACAGTAAATAGTGTTCATTTGCTGAATATACACACTTGCAAAACAACTCATGGCTTAAAACATTGTTCTGAATTTGGATAGGGCTACGAGATGTGAAATTTTAATCAGAATGTTAAAAAAGATTCACCATTTCTGGATCAGTTTATTTTCTGAGAGGAGTGAATTCATTTCCTTCTTTACATCTGGAAATATTCTCAAGAACCTGAATTTACAGAATAAGGGCTATTAGCCAATGGCAATTGTTAAGGTTCTGAATAGTCCAATTTTGGATTCTTGTGGTTTGATGATTGCTGCTGAATGTGCCAAGTCTATTTCCTTGATGTCCTCATTGCTTTCAGTGATAGTGTTCTGACTATTGATTTTTATTGAAAAAAGCATCTTACAATTCACTTTATATTCTACTGGTATCTCATAATCCACCAACTTACAAATCGCCTGCTTTCAAGGTCCTTATAAAAAGAACCTTTTCCCACTATTCCAATGCCATCTCTTAGGCAGTAGAAAATATGATTCATTTACTGTATTGCTACCACATTAGAATACTGGCCCAGCTTTATCTCCTCATTGATACAACACTACTGTTCTCATTTAAGTTCTAGCTCCAAGGAGACTAAGTGTACAGAACAGTCACTAAAAGAATTCTTGAACAAGATATACAAAGATATAGCTCAATGCTCCAATTTTTGAATTGCTTAGAAAAGAAGCACAAATGTATTCTCCTTAATCAGAAATGACAAAGATCCTACTGATGAAACTACTCTTCTGGGCATTTGCTCAATACCTTTATACCCATGGTTCTCAATCTGTGGTTCGTGGAACAAGGGTGCTCTGTGAAGCCACTACAAGTGTTCCGTGAAAAAATCAAATATTACAATTAAAAATTGTTGCAAAAGAAAAATCAATACAATGTAAAATCATTTTTGTATGGGAATATAATCAGCAAATGCCAATGTCCTCATCTACTAGACAGAGTGTGCTTGATTTCAAAAAGGTTTTCCACCCCTGCTTTAAAGCTAATATATTGTAAGTGTTCTGCAGAAAAAAATGTCAAAGTTTAGTGTTCTCCAACTTCAAAAAGATTGAGAACCACTGCTTTATACAACAACTAGCAGACCCTGCCATGCATTGTTGTGGCTCAAAATGTATCTATTATAAATGTATAACACTTCCCCCAGGGGAGGGAATTTTTTGAAAAATTCATTCTTAGTGTACATTCTCTTGACGTACCCTATTGAAACGCAATCAAAAACGCAAACAACCACATCTAAAATAGTACAATAGAAGCCAAGTTCTTCACGGTAAGCCTTAATCCTGTCCATCACCCCTAGTGGGGGAATTTTGACACGTATATTATATAAAAACACGTGCGTATTCGAATGCAGCGTTGTGTCAAAATTTCAAAGGAATCGGTAGGAACAAACGAACATTACATTTTTATTTATATAGATAGATAGATGATGATCTGCTTTAGTTCATCCTCATAGAAAAGCAAACTTAGGTTGTCATACTCGTAGCGCCATCTGTTGGACGTAAAAGCCTTAACCCTAGATAATATCTTTTAATTTATGAGTGCTTAACGGAATAATATACAGCCTATGTCCACCCTGAAGTTCCATTCTAAATATTGGTGAAAGAATTTTTGAAATCGGATGAGTATTTTCGGAGATTACCCCTACATACAAACATTACCTCTTTATAATATTAGTATAGACAAGATAGATCATCCCTTTGAATATATTGATGCCAAATGTACATCTCTGAAAATCAAGATTAATTAAGAACAACAGGATTCAATCAAAAAATGCCTGACTACAACTACCTTGTGGTCTTTGCCTCTGACCAAAACATTGATGTGTTTTTTTATAAGTCATATCTAATACATTGTGCATCAACTCCTTCTCATCTAAAATATCTGGAAATACTCAAAATCTATAAAGCAATTTGTAAAGGAACTGCAGTTAATAATACAGACATGGTGCCATTGTTTTGCATATAGGGCTTTGAAGTAGTATAATTTCATTTAACATCTCAATGTTATTATTACACTTTTATTAATTTTAATCTCCTTTTGTTACATGTTTACTCATTTATGTAACCTTTTTGTTTATATTTATTTTGTATGTAATTTTTTTAAAGTTATTTTCTTTAGATATTTTAACTATTTTTATGTCTTTACTTTAAATTTTATGTTAAATATTAACCAATTTATGTATTCAACTCTTGTGCATGCAATAATAATATAATTTAAATCGTTCAATCATTTTTATTTTTAGTCTATCATAAGAACCTGATGATCTTTAAGTAAGATCAAAAACGTAAGTTTATTAAATTTGTTTTTTATTACTAAATTAAGGTATATTTTGAATCAATTATAGTATACTCAGTTTTTTGAAGTAATTAATCTACTTAGCATAATTAGAAATAACAATTAAATCCATTCAATACGCTCAAAAAGTAAAAGTACATAAAACTAGCTGTTACCCATGGCTTTTGCAATTTGATAGAAATAATCTTCCCTCGGTACTTCACTAAGATTCTCAATCATTAGTTGTTACTAATTTGGTAAAATTACTGATTTTTGTTTGTTTCAAACTATGGATTGCTAATGCACCTAAATTCAAGTTTCAAATATTATGGGATTCCAAGGTATGATAAATCTGATTTTAATTTTTTTTTTTCAAAACATAAAATGACAGTTATCTGAAAATTTCTAAAATATAAATATTTACAAAAAAAAAAAAAAAAAGAGTTTCAGTTACCCCAGTATTTCTTTGTAAACCACATTTGTGGTACTGCCTTTCAGGGCTAAGACTTTTTAAGCCCTAATTCTTTCCCTCTC